ATTTTAAAATATCATTTGTTTACTATAGAAAATGATGGTAACAGGGTTGACATTGTAAGATCACCCCCTACTGAAAAACATATCAAAACAAAGTTTTTCGATCACTTAACATGACATTGTATAATACAACTAATTTTGTAAATAATAAGACCATTAAAAATCATTGAAATATTATTTGTTTAAATTCAATACATTTGAAATGTTTATAGCCTGCTATATTAGCCTGCTATTATTATTTATTATTTTATATTTATACTTTTAATAAACAGGGCAGGGGCCACAAAATGTAAGTCATGCAAATGGTTAAGCATTTCAAGTGGAGCTGATATTATTAATATTATCAGCCTACTGATTATTAACAAATCAAAAATATTGTACATGAGTTTAAAACTCTTGAGAAAATAATTTCACATTTGAAAATTCAATATATGGTCAGTGTTTTTATTTCCATCCTCTTTATTCTTAGTAAACATACATGTGAATAATGAAACAAAACAGAAAATAGTTTTCACTGGAGAGAGAGAGAGAGAGAGAGAGAGAGCGAGAGAGAGAGAGAGAGAGTGAGAGAGAGAAAGGAAGGGGAAGATAAGGAGAAATCAGTGAATGAACAGTTTGAAGGACACTTGTCTGGTTTTATAGTTTCTCCTTCTTTATGTTCATGTTTATTTTAAAACCAAAAGAATCAAGGTCCTCACTCTTTTACTTTAAAGAACAGTGATAATCTGTTGCTTGGCAAAACTTCTTTTAAAATACCTGAGCAGGACAAGACTGAGGATAGTAATGGTCATCTGAAGCTCAAACTCAACTCATTTTGTTTATGATTCATACCACTTGTAAACAATATATTGTGATAAAGTGGGATCTTATCTGCTGAGCCCTTTGTGGCCAAATTGTTCTATTTTCATCCCTTTGTGCTTTGATCATTCATCTGTGACATCATGACCTACCTCATTGATTCATAACATGAATGCATTTTGCTGTAGTTAAGAGCTTATTTCGACTGGTTTCATACACTTTTAAAAACAAAGGTACTTTATTGGCATCCATGGATTTCATTAAGAACCATCATCCATGAACATCCATGAAATCTTTCCATTGCATTGAAGTTTTTTTATATATATTGAAGAAAAAAGAGAATGTTCTTTAGATTTTTAAAATTTTCTTCTTTTCTTTAAACTGTCGCAATATACCAGTCCATAATCTATGATAACTCTTCCTCCAGTGAAAAAGTCTATCCCTTGTTGTCCATTTGTTTAGAACTGTTTTGGACTTTATTCATTTGTAAACGGTGCTTGATCTGTGCATATTTCTCTCCTGATTCAGATAAGAAAACTTTTTCACTGCAGAAAGCAATATTATGGATAGAGGACTCATATTTTAGCCGGAAGCAAAGTTAAAAACTTGATGAATTTCTTATGTCTTTCTTGTGGGTTATTGAGAAGTTTTTTTTATCAGCTGTTCTTTTATCAGAACTCTCATTCTGACGGCATCCATTCACTCCAGAGGATCCATTGGTGAGCAAATGATGTAATACTGAATTTCTCCAAATCTGTTCCGATAAAGAAACAAACTCATCTACGTCTTGGATGGCCTGAGAGACTGAGGAAATTCAGCAAATCAAACATTTTTTGATGAACTATTCTTTTAAGAACTGTTCACTGAAAAATCATTTGGGGAACCAAAAACAGTTCTTTATTGCTTCTTTATTTGTAAGACTGTAGAGAAGTGCATGCATACATTTTGTGTGGATACAAGAGTTTTAAACATCGGACAGCAAATGTACGTGAGCTAAGTTCTCACCTACACATCTCCCTCCTCCCTCTCCTACCGTTGATGAAGCCTGTTCAAACTGCAACCTTGTAACTGTGCTTGCTTTTTTCTTTTTCCTTAGTCGCTCAGGCTATTTTTGACACCCAGCAACAGTGCTCATTTATTTCAAACCGCTTTCAGATTTCTATAAGATTCTAAACATATTGCTCAAGGACAGACAGATCCATATGTGTTTGGTGCACTTCAGTAACTTTTAAAGAACACCATTGCATATGTTGTTACATTAATTGAGAATACTATGGGGCATCAGATGCCTTTTTGTCCTGGGGTTAAATAAGCGTGAGTCACACTTCCTGTTTGCAATATTTTACATCCTATGTAGTATCTGACTGCCTTTATACTGTCTTTTCCCCCTTTTTATGTCCAGCCTGTGCAATTATGGCAATTACGGATCAAATAACAAAGCCTTTAGGAGGCTGGATGATAGGAACAAGGACAGAGGGGACAGACTGTTGGACAGCCACAGCATTTGACGTCGTTCAGAACATATGGTATCAATATTGATGAAAAGTTTTGCTGGATGATGTGAACCTGGCCCCTGGGAGACAGATCTCTGCAGAGAGGGAACTGTCACCCTAACCCTTGAGCTCCCACTGGACTTTTTTGTTTATTACGTGGGTGGCACGGCCATCTGCTGAAATCAGAAAGATGGGGGATGGGATTTCTTGGAGAAAATGTGTAATGCTCATAATCTGTTCACATGTACGTCTTTTTAATATGCATTGAACTTTGGTCATGTTCGAAGAAAGGAAAGAACACTTGGGTAATTATCTCACATTGAATCCCGAACATGATGAAATAGTAGCTTTCCAGGAAAAATCTAAATTCAGCTCAGATGGCTGGTCTTCTTGTCTTATGTTGTGTATGGCACACAAAAAAACATCATAATTTGTACTCCATATTCTGGACAATATGGATAACTTTGTGGCTACAGAATTGTTACCTTTGTGATCAAATGTTAGTTTTGGTAAAGAAATGAACAATAAGTTTCACTTGTAGTATCCCTGTCTTTGTGTCTTTTCTACACATATTCTTTTTTTATTTGGGGGTTTATACTAGAAGCTGATACTTGACCATCTCTGTATCTCTGCACCCATGGCAACGGAGCTGCAGTATCTTAGTAACAAAATTTGCGCATTGCAAGAGATGCAAAATTATGGTTGTTCTCAAGCACACCACCAATTTGAACCCAACAGAAGAAGTCATAACATTTAACCTCTATCCCAATGAAGTGACTTTTATTAATATCCTAAAACTAAAAGTAACCATCCACCATTTTGTGTAGAAAACTAAGAATGGAAACTCACTTGTCATTGCTTTCACACCTTTAGAGCACATTAAATCACTTGGAAGGTCACGTTGCCTGATTCTTTCTGGTTTCAAGAAACATGTTTCACCTTGTCATCTTCTTGAAAATTGTAAACCTGATCTGTGTGGGATGGAAATGAGTTCATGTTACCAACAAAAAAATAAAAAAAAATGAGAGGAAAGTTAATATTTCAAATTTCAGGACAATTAAGAGTGTACATGTATTGTTTCAGTCGTTCATGGTGATCAGAGAATAATACGTTTTAATGGCCCGATTGTGACGTGTATTTGAGTGGGAGGACAGGAAAATTACTCTCCTTATAACCCAGTGCAGCATTACCCTTCTAAACCACAAAAATAGCTCCAACGCCTCCATTTTCCTCTCTGCTAATGAAAAGAACTAACCTTGTTTATTTTGAGAGAAAATTCAACTATTTATAGACAGGCATATAAACATTTGTTTAATTTTAAACAAATGCAAATGTTAACCTAACATATATTCATTTGATTTTTGTTGAAAGCGATCACAGTCACAACAAAACAAATTAAAAAAGGCTTATACTGAATGAATAGTTCACACAAAAATGAAAATTCTGTCATCATTTACTCATCCTGATGTCGTGCCAAACCTGTATGCACATCTTACTTCTGCTGAACACAACAGAAGATATTTTAAAGAATGTTGAAAAGAGTTTGGGTTCCCGTTGACGTCCATTTGTATTTTTTGTCCATACAATGGAAGTCAATGGAAACCAAAGCCGTTTAGTTACCAACATTCTTCAAGATTTCACACAAAGAAAGCCTAAGTCTTAAAGTCTCAGAAAACCAAAGAATGTAAAATATTCCAGCATCATCTGATATGCTTGTCAGTGTGTTCAGCTACTCCTGTCACACCTACATCCATCTGTTGCACTGCCCACAAGCCCTCTGTGCCAACACTGACCATCAATGAGCTCATCACTTCCCTGCTGGAGCTACACTAGGCTAAATTCACACTTATCATTTGACAATACACTACATGCCTTTATAATTAACACACAGATCCTTTCACACACATAGCAGTAATAAATCAGACGCTGACTCAAACAGAACTTCCTACTCGTTTTGCCATTGTTCTAAATCAAGTGAGATGACCAGTCCATTGATGAAATAATGTTAATGAATGGCCTGCAAAAACACAAGCCTTTTTGGTACACTCTAATTAGCATTTAAAGGTATCAGTTTTCATATTGTAGTCGCTCTGTTACTTTTTATTCATTAACTTCTTCCTGTCTTTACTTTTTGTCAATGAAGTAAATTTAAATGAGGTAAAATGAGGTCAATTTAAATCTACAGGACAACTTTAAAGCTTGTAGTAAATACGTAGGATTTCCAAAACGAACAGTAGTTCCAAAGTACAGTGGCCCCAAAATAACAACCAAAAAATTATATAAATGTGACATTTATTTTGGTCAACTTTAACCCTTAAATGTGACTGTAATAATGGTCCTTTCAGCTAATAGCAAAAAAGGTAAAACTCAGCATGTGTGCACCGGTGTTACACTGTCACCATGTGGAGACACCTGAGCATTTCATTTATACTTACTATAAACACTCACAATCAAGAGAAATTTTGACCAAATTATTAGCACGTACACCAAACGGGATGTATTTTTTAGCCTACAGACAAGAAAGGAAAAATAAAGAAGAAGAAGATCATAAAAAAACAAAGATGTGAAGGGAGGATCAGAATTTCTTTTCTTTAATGTATTAATTTTAGACCGTAATTTTTTACTTTAACAATGAAATTATGCAAAAAATATTGTATAATCTTGTAGTCTGAGTAAACAAGCAGAAGTACAGAATTCAATAAGCATTAGAGAAAATGCAACAATTTACGTAAAAATTGGTTTCACAAATGTTTTAAATAAAAATTTGTTCTCATTTAAGGCTTATAGAAACCTGGATTTTTCTTTAGTTTGTTAGTGTTTTCTGAAATTACTCAGTATTACACTAGATACATGTAATTACAAAAGTTCTTTGGAATGTCTATTGTATGTAGGTTCGATAATTCTTCCTATTTTTTTTTGTTTTGTTAGCTAATACTAATACCAAATTATATCTTGACGTTTCTTTCTGAAATATCTGCAGCAGACATGTGTGTGTTTTTGGTGTGTGTGCTTGTATGCTGCATGTATGTGTGAGAATGAGTCCACGGTGACAAAGTGAGAGGAATGAATGTTCAGATGCTTTAGCGCTTCCCAGAATAGGCCTGCGGCCACCGGCCTGCAGTCAGCCTCAAAAAAAGATCATTTCACATCATTAGGTGGTGATTTGTGGAACTGTGTTGCAACACACAAAAGCAGAAATAGACTGAATAAAGATATTCTTGTATATACTGTATTCATACAGTGTTTTCCCTATGTTTGTCTCTCCATCTCTCTCTCCTCAGAAAGCATGAGGCCCAACATAAACAGAGAGACGCAGAACAGAGCTGGTCTGGTAGTTCATGAGAGGATTGACAGACACCATCTCCAGATCGAGGACGTACTCCTTCGGGCCAGTCACTGCTCTGGCCAAAACCAACATGGCACTGATGTTGTTGATTTGCTACGAACAAGAAATGACAAAAATAAATGAGTCCAAAAGTATGAGACCACATTGCAATTCTGAGATTTTTCATTTAAACACAAACTGAAAGTTTTGCGATTTTCAAAGCTTAAAACCTAGCTTCAAACAAAGAAGTGAACACGTTAAATAGGACAAAAATATTAAAGATTCTGCACTATTTTGAATCACTAACCAATATAAACAAATATGTGATCGAGTATAAAAAAAAAAAATAAAAAAAATAAAAAAAAAAAATATATATATATATATATATAT